GCCTTGCGACTAAACTACTCATGGATCGACAAATTAGGGGTGATAATAACTACAAAATTATGTCATTTATAAAACCACAATCTCTTTGTGCAGATTCGTTGGACTACTCTAATCATATAATTAGGAACTTAAACCATGACGACAAGATTGTGATTGTGACGGGTGCGAATGATTCTAACCCAATCAAATTATTAAACGATTTAAGCTTGGTGCTTTATAAGTTAAGTAAATGTAGTAGAGTATATATTTTAGAAGTCGTAAATAATCCTTATTTGAATACTAAAACATTAAATGATAATATAGCTTCTTTAGTTAGATTGTATAATAATTGTACTTTTTTGACATCGAGTGGTAATTTTTATAACGTAAAAGAATATTTGTGGCATATGAGTCGAAAAATAAATTTTAATATAGATTGTTTTGACTATGATACATCATTTCTATCATTAAGTAAATTAAGAAATAGATTGACACACAACAAAACTATTAACTCGCAAAAAACTAAACCTAATTCACCTAAAGGTCAATTCATAAAGGGCACTATACCTTACTATTTTAATTTAATGAATAAAAAGAATGTTAGACATAATAATGAAAATTGCAATATCATCAATGAGAGCTCTAAAAATTCTAAACCAAATAGAGGGTTAATAACTTATTATTTTCATTCTGTAAAATCTTATAAACAAGTATCACATGATTCCTTTCGTCCATAAAGAAAATCTTTAAATATGAAATTCACAATCTTACACCAAAATATAGCTGGCATTTGCTCCAAAAAGGATATTTTAGAATTAACATTAAAAAATTTACATGAAGAGGAGCATACACGAATAGATGTATTATGCTTAACGGAAACATTTGTTAAAGCAAGTGATTATAATAATTATAATGTTTATGGTTACATATTAGCTGGTTTCTATGGTCGTAAAAAATAGAGGTGGTGTATGTATTTTGATAAAGGAAGATATAGAGTGGAATGAAATAAAATTTATTTCAGATTTAACAGAATCCGAGCATTTTGAATGTTGTGGAATAGAAATTCCTTTACATAATATTTACATAATATGCATCTATAGGACACCTGGTTCAAATGTGAATATATTCTTTTTTGAACTACAAAACTTATTATCAGAATTAATAAATAATCACAATAAAAGAATTATTATTGCTGGAGACATTAACATATATAAAATATATAACATAACATAATATAATACCTTGGAAAATAGTAAAAATACAATTGAACTAAATGATATCATTTCGAATTATAATTTATATATACATATTAATGAACCAACGCGTGGAAACAACTGTATAGATCATATATTTAGTAATATAATGAATGCAACAACATGTGTTAAAAAGTTATATTTATCAGATCATGAATCGGCGCAAATATTATCTATTGATGTACATAAACAGAGAAAAAAGTTAAATGATATTTGGGAGTATAAAAGGAATTATAATTTATATTACATTAATATGTTTCGTGAATGTATAAAAAAGCTTACTTTTAAGGAAGTTTTTGAGGACAAGGATTGATATCCTTGTCCTCAAATCCTTTCTGCATACAATAAATTTATGGATCTTTTTATCTTATTTTATAATCTATGCTTTCCGATGATTAAGATAAAAAAAACTAGACATAAAATATAAAAATAACTGGATTACAAAAGATTTGAGACTTAGTTGCCTAATGAAAAGGAAACTCTCAATTGGTTATTATAAGAAAAAGACTGACGAGAATAAACAAAAATACAAAATATACAGCAAATTACTAAAAAAATGTATTGACGTGTCTAAAAGAATAAATTATTTTAAACGAATTAATACCAGTAAGAATAAAGGAAAATGTTCATGAAATATGATAAAATCAAAGGCAGTGTTAAAAGAGAATGACAACTATTTAAACATGATTAGCAAGAATAATGAATGTCTAAGATCTCCACAGAAGATTGCTAATGCTTTTAGTGAGTATTATGAAAGTCGGACAAGGATAGTTAACCTTAAGCAAGCGAAAGAAACATACCTGCATAACATAAAAAGCCCGTGCAAAAGCATGTTTTTACGACCAATTACTCTGGAGGAGACAAAGTCATTAATAGTTAATTTAAAAAATTCTAGAAGTGAAGGTTATTATGGTGTAAATACAAAAGTAATTAAATATTGCAAGGATGAACTATCGCTTATACTTACATATTTGATAAATTTATCATTCGAAGTAGGTGCTTTTCCCGAGTCATTAAAACTATCTTTGATCAAGCCCTTATTTAAGCAAGGTGATAAAAAAAGATATTAATAACTATCGTCCAATAACAATTTTGTCAGTTTTCTCAAAAATTTTTGAAAAAGCTATACACAGTAGGCTTAGTCATTATTTTAATGAAAACAAGTTTATGAAAAAAGAACAGTATGGCTTTCAGCAAAACAAATCAACCACGATGGCGTGTTAACGTGTTTTGATCTATTAAAAAGAATCACCGATGCAATAGATGATAAGGTAAATGTAACAAGTGTATTTTTCGATATGTCAAAAGCATTTGACTTTGTTTGCCATGACACCTTATTGCGTAAGCTAGAAAAGTATGGAATAAGAGGACTGAAATTGCAGTGGATAAAGTCATACTTATCATCAAGAAAACAGTGTGTGGAAGTTATAACCCCTAATAAAAATAATATTTTGACAAAATTCAGGTCACGACTAGTTCTTAAGTACGCTGGAGTTCCTCAGGGAAGTGTTCTTGGGCCTTTTTTGTTCGTAATTTATGTAAATGATTTACCGGATTCAACTCCATTCCCATGCATTTTATTTGCGGATGACATATCTTTAATCATAAAAAATAATCATGGAAATAAAGATAATTCAGAAAATGACATAAAATGCACAATAAATGATGTCATTTCATGGTTACATAATAATAATTTGAAGATCAATATCGCCAAAACCTGTTATTTACAATTTTATAGTAATAGTAGAAAGAAACTAGATCTTGACATAAGATATAATAATGACAAAGTGCAAGAAAACGAACAGAAGAAATTTCTGGGAATAAAATTAGATAGTAATTGTAATTGGATGGCTCATATTGACGAAATATGTAATAAAATTAATGGATTTGTATATGTTTTAAATAGGTTAAGAAGAACATCGTCAAGTCAAACCGCACTCATTGCATATATCATGGATATGTTGCAACAATATTAAGATACGGATTGTTAATTTGGGGTAATAGCTCTTATTCAAAAAGAGCTTTTATAGCTCAAAAAAAGTGTGTGAGAGCCTTAACTGGAGCCAAATGGTATGATTTCTGTAAGCCCTTATTTAAGGATCTTAACATACTGACTTTACCAGGTATGTACATATTTGAAGCAAGTGTTTATGAAAAAAACATTTTGATATGTACAAAAAAGCATCTGAGGTATACTTGCGTAGCAATCGAAATTCTAATCGACTAGTTATAGAACGTATACCTAAAACTGCATTTTATCGTAATGGCTGCTACGCGATGAGTGTAAAAATTTATAATAAACTTCCGGTAAGCATTAAAGAAGAGACAGAAACTGGTAAATTTAAAACCAAACTAAAAAGCTGGCTACTATTAAAGTGCGTTTATGACGTAAAACAATTTTTAAATGAATAGAATCTTGTTGCCTGAATTTGATATTGTTGTATTCTTATAGACTATTATTTGTGTATTCTGTAGATTTTATATATGTACTCTTTTGACATTCTAATTTTTAATTTTAATAATGATTGACATGATGATTGTATTTTAATTTTATTTGATTTAAATGAATAATGCATATTTAAATTCTTTGCTTGAAATAATGATTGTAGTTTTAACATTTTTAATTTATATTTATTTGTTTTAAATTAATCAATGTAGGTAAATGACTATGTCTTTTCATTTAATTAATAATTTTCGCATGCCCGATGTGGTAAACATGTGGACTATATACAATATCTAATATTTGTCACCTCTGATGTACCATGTTTAAGCGAATAAATGAAATTATTATTATTACTTTCCTAAAAATTTGCTTTTTAACCAAAAATAAACATTAAATATAAAAAATAACCATATTCAGAAACTTTATTAAAAAGCACAGCGTTTGCACCAAAAATAAATAACGATAACCCCACAATATAAAGAAATTTTATTTCATAAATGTTTATCAATTTTTTTTTCTGATTACCATCGGTTTTAGTGAAAATCTAAATTATTGTCCGAGTATTGGTGTGAATGTCACTATATCGCCATGCCGCGCCCCCATTTACGTGTAAAGTATCGCGGGAAGTGATTATTCTGGAATCATCCTCTTGCCTGTCGTCTATATTATTAAGTGTACATATTTAATGATTTTGTTTAATATGTAGTTAATTATTAATTCTAGTGATTACCTCCGTAATTCAAAATAAGCACGAGATTCGTAGTTTTGATATTTTTTACGAAACAATTGGATAAAAATAAAAGCCTCATTACTTTCGTCCTCACTACCTTCGTCCTCACTACCTTCGTCCTCACTACCTTCGTATACCGTCGTTTTTAGCGATGTTGATGAGGTCAAAACGATTATTTATTACTGTGCATTATTACTTTACAAACCGTGTGGTCGCGAGTTCTTGTCCCACCCATAGTTGAGATTTTTTTTCACAATAATACTACTACGATACAGTTATAATAATACTTTAATTTATAACAAAATAAAGAATTAATAGTTTTTACTTTGTTTATTGATGTAGCTTTAAGTTTGTTTATAAATAGTAAACTTACAAGCTAACCTTGTACTTGTGTACTTTTTATTACTTTAGTTATTAAGGATGAGCTTGATATGATGAATATGAGCAATATCATATTATGTGTTGTTACAGATTACTAAGAATTAATAATGCCAAAGAAAGCCGTATGTAGATCGAAAGTAGTATGCAGATCGAAAGGCAAAAGCAAGAGCAAGATACCTCAATAGAAAATAACATAAAAAAATTAGTAGCGCAAATGACACCTCGACAATTGAGAGTTCAGAGGAAGAAATGGAGAGTTAATTCAAAACGTCATTATGAAAGAAAAAAGAAAAAGAAAGCCATTCAACAGTTGTTACTAGATAATTCTCCACCAAATAATGACAATGAAGTACTTCCAACTGATCCTCTCACTCAATCAGCTCCAAGACCCATGCATAATTCATATCTAAATCGTTTGGATTACGGTAATAGTAATTCTTGTCAAGGGTGCCTAAAGAAAGATATTCTTCTGAGAAAGGTTCTCTACCTACATAAAAAACAAATGGGAATTTTGGAACAAGAAATAGAAAAAAAACGAAGAAACAGAAATATGCCTATAGAAAAATGTTGTATAGAACGAAGGAAAAGTAGAAAATGTTAATACACATAAGCGTGAAAAAATTAAGAAGAAACTAATGTTTGGTGAAATACTTTCAAGAAGTGTTGGAGAAGGGTACAAGTGCTTGAGGCAAAAGAACAAGACAAAATTCTCAAATGTGGTTATGACGGAAAAAGAAAAGTTGAAAAGTTGACACAAACAAAAATATTTACAGTAAGAGATAAAAAAAAAAGAAAATAAGACAGCTAAAAATGAAAAAAGGAAGAAACTTGAAAGAGCAACTAATTTTGGAGTTTTTTTACTATGACGAGGTTACTAGAATTGCAGCTGATAAAAATGAATATATAACTAAAAACCAAATAAGGAAGCAGAATGATATTTAACGGAAGCATTGACTAATTTGTACCAAAAATTTACGCATAATTCGAAAGTTAAAGTAACGTATCAAACATTTTGTATATATCGCCCATTTTGGGTTTCATACCCAAAGGAGTCCAGTAGAAATAATTGTGCTTGCAAAGTTCATATTAATGTCGATTTGTTGATAAAATGTCTTGATACAAATAAAATACTAAAACAATCTAACGGGACGGGTGTTTTAAAAAGCTTATGTTGCAACGTCTACGATGAAAATTGTTTGAATCGAACATGTAAAAAATGTCAACTGAAAAATTTAGATTACGCAGAATTTCATAACAACAAGAAAATTAAATATTATCAGTGGACTACTTGCTCTGAAAATACTACGTTAAACTTGAGGAAAAAGCAAAATTAGTAACAAAAAAGAAACAGTGTATAATTTTCCACGAAACATTATTTTTCAATTAGGAAATACTCTTGTAACCTATATGAAACACTGCACTAATATTTGAACTCAATATAGAAATATTAAGAAGCTTAAGAATAATCTTAGTCCACAAGAGGTAGTGGTTCATGTTGACTTCAGCGAAAACTACTGCTTTAAAAACAACGAAGAAATCCAGAGTTTTCACTTGGATGGTAGGTTACAGTGTAGTCACATTTGATACCGACCATTGGATATGTGATGGAGATTTCGACCGAAATTGATACAATACACTTTATTTCCAATAGTCCAACTTATTTTTTATATGATCAGTCAACTGTACCGTGATTTTCCGCTACTGAAATCTATGACCTGGAACTACTTAGAAGCTGGATACGGCAAAGGGGCGAGAGAGGGAGTCGGTACTGTTCTCAAACGAACAGCAGATCAAGAAGTCCACTTTTGGCAGTGATGTGGACTCATTAGAATCATTCGTAGCCTGTCTTAGACCAAGAGTGAAGATTGACATTCACATCGTAACAAGAAATGACAATGAAGCAAGAAGTTTTCCATCAGTCCTAAAAGCAGCCAAAGGTACAATGATGGTGCACCAAGCTCTTTGGTCATTTGGTTGCTCTTAAATTAGTCTAAGAAAACTAAGTTGTTTCCAATGTGGCAATAAATAGGACGTCAAACATCTCAGTCCCCCTTCCCCCCGTGACCATGGGTACTGTAAAGCACCCGAAACGTCGGGAATTAATAAATAAGTAAAAATATTGGGCATTATAATATTCCATCCTACAAAGACGACAATATTAACCAATTTCAGAGTTTCCTTGATGAGAATACAACACCAGATATTATTCAAGAAATAAACAACACAGGTTTTTCAGTTATTCTATCAGATCAATCGATTAGTTTCAAAGATCAATCTTCAAACAGGGCGTATTCGTAAAAAGTCAAAATACTATCGGATATTAATGTGATTTTCTCCCCCCTTTGGGAGGGGAGTTAATTTTAATTATAAACTAATAATTAAAATTATTAGTTTAGAAGTGTCAAAGATAAAATTGCGTGACCCTATAAATTAAAAATAATGAAAATGTAAACCTTCAGATTGCACCATCAGAAAGCGGTGTGGCGACATGCAATTTTATCTTTTTATTTTTTCATATATTAAACGTCGCACACGCCAACGCGATGTTCGTATCGGTTGCGGTCGGAAATGCTCGGCTACGTTCAGTTTGCTTTCGTGACAGCCCGGGCGTCTTTGTTTTTACCGGCAGTCTGCAACGGTTGCCTTTTAAATCGTGACAATTTATTTTCGGCTTCATATCTTAAATTCTCTTTGTGCATTTAATTATTAATTATTTATTTCTCTTTTTTTTGTGCTATAATATCTCTATTGTAAATTTTCATTTTGTAAAGAAATATATATATATATTCTTGAAAGAGTGAAGGCACTTTCATTTGCCCTGCTTAACCCCTACAGGCGAGATCATAACTGTCACCTAGATACTTATGAGCTCTTTCAAATGAGTTCAGAAACGATATTCTTATCTAGTGCCGTTACTGTGAACCTATACTCACCTTCGGATTGCACCATCAGAAAGGTGACACCCACTCAATAAAATTTTGTGTCAATATGGCACACACAAATCTAAATGTCCAACACATTTTACGCACACATGTAGGTTAAATACATCAACATAAAAAAGTTATGAGTGTAAGACAGACAAAATAATTGCGATGCTACCATATCGATAGTTTGCCTAAGAAAAAGAGAAAAACTCACAAGCATTAGCAAAATGCACTCGAACAATTAAATTCATCTTTTTAGTTGGTAAGCATGTAAGTTTTATTCAGGGTTCCATAGTAACACAACAAGGAATGCTTATAGTTCCGCCAAGTTCAGCAGCCTGTCGGTTTGTCCGCGGCTTTAACGATAATATTATGTTAAAAGTATTCACAGATGAAAAAAACACGTTGTTCTTTTGTAGATTTAACGGTTTTGATTGTTTTTTGCATGAAAATACACTGCAATTCGGCTTTTTTGTCGGAACTCAATTGACTTTCACAATCATTAGCATAATGGTGCACTAAGCAGAGCAACTAGTTTTATATAACGGGTATGAGTTGGACTCTCATACTTTTTACAGAGGGGTATGACCACAGAACATTATTAATCCGAGCGGAGAGGTATGACTTGCGAAGCCGTCTCCCAAAGACATTTAAGTATGTAGTGGTAATAGACCGGACATCAGCAACAAAATTGTAGTCTGTAACTTTTGTCCTATAGGACATATCTCCGAAAGGTCAAGACCTTTGAGTATTCAACCAACTGGAGAGGCCATGCGCGTTAATTCCTAAACAAAAATTCTGTCAACATCAGGGGGGCGCAAGAAAACCACACAACTTTATACTTAACTACAAATGCAAAATTAAATCGCGTCACTATAAGCGCACACTACAGCATTTGTGTTTGTGTTAATCGCGTTTACGCATACCATCAAATTGTACACGTGTCGATACACTGATGGCGCTGTCTAAATGCGTAAGCAACGTAAGGCGTGGACTATGTCGATATTTTTTATCGATAAACAAATCACCATAGTCCGCATAAGTTTTTAAATGATTATAAGTTATACATAGATAAATAATACCAAGTTGTTTTTGAAATTCTTTTTTTAAAGTAAAAAGGAAAACTTAGAAATGATTGAAAATAAGTTTATTAGTTTGCTACAGGTATATTTTACATTATGCAGGATAAAATTTAAAACATTTAACAAATCGAAATAGGTTTAGTTAACTTATTTTAAAAATCATATTTGTAAAACGAAAACTCCTATCAGTTTATCGTCTTAGATGGTGTTAACCAAGTTTTTGTTTTTATTATAAGGCTTCAATCACAAAACCGCTATTTAAAAAAAGTTGTTGATTTTCAAGACTTATTAAATGATCTATCTGGAAAATATTTAATGAATTAGGAAAACAAAAAAGTTTTACACTATATAATAGTTTAACAAAGAGAAATTTAAGCAGATAGCTGCTTAAAAATAAAACGTGACATCTACCTAGGGCTAAGTGTTCCCCAGAAAGACCTTTTGCTTTAACTTTACATTACTATTTACCGAAAGCTTAACAAAATGTGCGAAATATCAAAAGTTTTGAAATTGGTCTGCTTTCATCACATACTATAACAAAGTGGTACAGTACAATTTATGGCCAACTTGGCTACACAAAAAAAAAGCCTTAACTGTTTTAAAACTTAGACTAGGGAGTAACCCTGACAAGAAATTATATTGTATATTAGTGATAGATGAAATGTAAATAAAACAATTGACGGAGTACCATGCAAGTTCTAAAAGACATTTTGGTTATATACATAATGCCTTTGGCTACTTGCATGGTATTCTGTCAATTGCTTAATTTTCATTTCATCCATAACCAAGGTACAATAACAAATTTTATCAGGGTTACCCTCCGCTCTCAATTTTAATGCCGTCAGCGCTTCTTGAGTAAACCCTGGTCGGCGATCGATGGTAGTGTACCACTTATTCAATGTACGTGGTGCAGGCAAACATGTTCCAAAAGTTTTACGTACATAGCGATAGGCTTTTGGTGAGTTATAATTAAATGTGAGGGTATAGTATTTCTTGCAAACTTGTGAAGCCTGTTTATGCTATTGTTTTTTATGTCAAGGCATTTTTCATTTTAATTTTCCTTGGCCTAAGTGTTGGCTCGTACTCGCAGTGGGAGTAGGACTAGTTCGGGCTATATAACGAATTTTTTTCGAATTGTGAATTTCGAAATAACTTATGGAATTTTGCCGGAACATCCAGCTTTCTTTTTTCGATGTAGACGATATTGTGCAATCACCACGATTACCCTAAAATAAACAACATGTAACATAATTAACGCACTTTGAGAAAATAGAATCGTTTACTGAATCGATTCCTATCATTTTTAATATAGGTAATTTTTTATCCCAAAAATAATTTAAACTACGTAAATTACAGTCACACTAAATCTGTACAGTCAAAACAAACTGAAATGGACCTTAACTTAAGGCAATAAGACTTTTAAGAGTGCAGTTTTATTTGTATTATACTAATTCTGTCATTCAATAAAAATAAAGAAAAATGAACTTTATTTCAAGCAGTTAAAGTCTTTGCGTTCGTGGATTTGTACTGTGACCACAACATTCTTCCGGAATTAGTATAATTAATATGATAAATAATCAGTGCATAAAAATGTTTAACTAAATATTCAGTGTATGTATTATGATTATAACATAATGTTACACTAGCTTGAGGTCCGTGACAATAAAAATTGCTGACAGAATTACCAAAATTAACTCTTTAATTCACTTTACTCTAATTAAACTTAAAACTCTAATAATTAATCAC